AGACCCGTCCAACTACCGGCCTATCGCCATCACCTCCTTGTTCTCCAAAACAATGGAGTCCATTGTAAACTGCCAGCTTATGAGGTACCTTGAGGATCACCAGCTGATTAGTGACCGCCAATACGGTTTTCGCCGTGGTAGGTCAGCTGGTGATCTTCTGGTCTACCTAACTCACAGATGGGCGGAGGCAGTAGAGTCCAAGGGGGAGGCATTGGCCGTTAGTTTGGACATTGCGAAGGCCTTCGATCGGGTTTGGCACAAAGCGCTTCTTTCGAAGCTCCCTTCCTATGGGCTTCCCGAGAAATTGTGCGATTGGATCACCAGTTTTCTTGCAGATCGGAGCATCAAGGTCGTTGTAGACGGTGCAAGCTCCGATTGCAAGCTTATTAATGCTGGTGTTCCACAGGGCTGCGTGCTATCGCCAACGCTGTTTCTTCTGCATATCAATGATATGTTGCAAACCCGTAGCATTCATTGCTATGCAGATGACAGCACTGGTGATGCTCTTTACACCGGCCGAGCAAATATTTCTCGGGAAAACGTCTCTGAGTGCCGGGACAAACTTGTGTCTGAAGTCGAGTCTCTGCTGGACAGAGTCTCGGATTGGGGGCGACTAAATCTAGTCCAGTTTAACCCCCAGAAGACACAAGTTTGCGCGTTAACCGCTAAAAAGAACCCCTTTGTCGTATCCCCTCAGTTTCAAGGCACTCCCCTTGTTGCCTCAGCCAGTATCGGAATCCTCGGCGTCGACATATCGAGTGACGTGCAGTTTCGTGGTCACTTGGAAGGGAAGGCCAAATTGGCCTCTAAAAAGCTTGGCGTGCTCAGCAGAGCGGGACAGTATTTCATGCCGGCACACCGCCTGCAACTTTACAAGGCGCAGGTTCGGCCGCTCATGGAATACTGTTCCCATCTCTGGGCTGGGGCTCCCCAGTACCAGCTCCTTCCACTTGACCGCATCCAGCGCAGAGCGGCTCGAATCGTCGACGACCGAGTGCTTTCCGATCGGCTCGATTCACTGGCGCTGCGAAGAGATGTTGCATCTCTTTGCGTATTTTATCGCATCTATCACGGGGAGTGCTCTGAGGAATTGTTCGGATTAATCCCAGCCGCCAAATTTCGTGAACGCACTACACGGCAAACGTCCCGATACCATCCACACCATCTGGATGCTTGGCGGTCCACCACTGTACGTTTCAAAAGGAGTTTTCTTCCGCGTACAACCTCTCTGTGGAATAATTTACCACCGGTGATTTTTCCGGACCGATACGACCTGTGGACCTTCAAGAAAAGAGCTTACTCCTTTCTAAAGGGCCGGCAACGCACCTGCAATTCCCCTGGTGTTGCGGTTGATCATGGGCGGCGGTAGTCACTTAACATCAGGTGAGCCACATGCTCGTTTGCCCCCTCTTCTATAAAAAAAAAAAAAAAAAAAAAACCGTGCTTTGTGGCATTACTTGGGGGAGGCCTATGTTCAGCAGTGGACTTGTGAAGGGCTGTAATGATGATGATGATGATGATACTTATTCTAAAGGTCGCCGAACACTCGGTCAGTAACTTCATAGCCTCAATTTAGTGGTGAAAAATGTTCCATTACGTATTGTGATAACTGAAACCTAAAACTACTAAATGAGCTTACATTTTTTATATTACAAGGCAATTTATTATAGATCTGTGCTCCTTCAAAGGTAATGCTTTTTTTGCGTAGTTTGTTCGTACCTTTGGTAGTACAAGTAGGCTAGGTCGTCGAAGACTGCGTTTACAAATTTGTGATTTTTTTACAAAAGACTTGTTAGTATGGATGGTTTTATCTAGTATTTTCCTAATTATAATGCAAGTATTATATATATGTAGTTGTTGAACGTTCATAAGGTTTGTTTCTTTGAAAATTTTAGAAGTTGCTGTTAAATAGGGATAGTGAAAAAGTATTTTTATGATTTTATTTTGTATTCTTTGAAGTTCCTGTATCTTAGTTTTAGCAGCATTACCCCAAATTTCTATAGGATAAAGTAAATGCGATTTAACTAATGAGTTATAAATAGTGTAACACATTTTTTTAGGTAGACAATAGGAAATATTGTGGAGTGATCCAGTAAGTGCCGAAAGTTTAATTTATATTAATCACACCATAAATTATTTTACTCAAAACACTCAATATTATGTGAAAAAATGGTGTAATTTAATTATTGTGTTAACGACACTAATTAATTAATATCGTTTTAATGATTGTGTTAACATGCTACTCGTATAACAACAACATTTTAATAGTTAGTTTGTTTCCGTAACAATACATTACATACATATCTTAACTTTTTAATTAATTGTATATTTCATGCTTCCAAGATTAATTTACATCTTTTACATTTATTATTTATTTTTAATAAACGGGATTTAAAGAAATAATCGAATTATCGGTAAATATAAATAAAAAAAACCGGCCAAGAGCGTGTCGGGCCACGCTCAGTGTAGGGTTCCGTAGTTTCCCGTCCGTCACAATAAGTGTTCCCACAGAGTTTAAAGGTGGGTATCCATTATGTTCGCGCTCCAGCAGCGCTCCGCGCTCCTGCAACTGCTCCCGGTAGTGGGTACTGTTGTTTCCATCCAAGTTCAAAATGATTTTCCTAGAAAGTCCTTATAAAGTTCTACTTTTCAGATTCTTTTCATATTTTCTAAACTTATGGTTCAAAAGTTAGAGGGGGGGGACACATTGTTTTTTACTTTTGAAGCGATTATTTCCGAAATTATTGACATTATCAAAAAATGATTTTAGTAAACCCCTACTCATTTTTAAATACCTTTCCAACAATATATCACACGTTAGGGTTGAAATTAAAAAAAAATTACTTTCCACTTTACATATAGGGGGGCCAAATTTTATTTTACCACCTTGTCGGCGTGATTGATACACATATTGGTACCAAATTTCAGCTTTCTAGTGCTAACGGTCACAGAGATTAAGCGAGCACGGACAGACGGACAGACAGACTTGGCGAAACTATAAGGGTTCCTAGTTGGCTACGGAACCCTAATTAACGTTTTTGGAAATATCGAAATAAATGCCTTTTATTGACCTGGTTATCTACATGCTACTAAGACATGAATAATTTATAATTTTTTTTAATTTTAGGCTGAACTGATTGTCATGGAACTTGACAAACAGATACAGAGCAATGCCAGAAGCTCTCTAGGCTATATATTATCCGAAAAAAATTTGGAGATATTTAAAAAAAAAAACGAAAAATTTATTTATTTATTTTGATTTACATAATAAGATTAAAACAGGTCGTGAAATCATAATTATGGCATATCCAAACAACTCATAATACATTTATCATATAACTTGTCGTTTTGCTTTGCAAGTGAATGAAGAAAAGAATTTAAACGCATTGTAGATTTGAGATAATGTACTGACGCTACCGACACGCTCCACCGAACAACTCGATCATAATGGCTGTCTTTTACGCGCTTTCTTTTAAAATCATAATTCTATTGTATACATGTGCCGAAATGGACTACTATACGTTTCGAGATCTCTAACGAAATGAAATGAATTATTTATTGCATAATACTTATTGAAAGTCATTTTTTTATTTACTACTGGTTCGGAAAAACTTCTGTCCTGGGAAGAACCAGCAAGAAACCCAGCGAAACTTTTTTCAAACATATTTTTATAAAAAAATTATTTTGTGCATTTTTTTGGATGCATTTTTATAAAACCAGCATGGTGGCGATCACCTCATCCCCAGGGGTTATTTTCATTTATATATTCATTGATGTTATAATAACCCTTTTTTTTTACAATTTTTCATTAATAAAACATTTTTATTTAATGACAAATTTTGTACATTCTCTGGGATTTTATTGTAAAAGCATAATATACAATTGCCCCATTAATGAATTACTAATTCTGTGGAGTCTAGTAACTGGTATTACAAGCTTATGTTTGTTCCTAGTGTTTAAAGTGTGAACTTCTTTATTCTTATGAAAGCTATTTATGTTTTTATGTACATATATTATATTTTCATAAATATATTGCGATGCCAAAGTTAATATGTTTATTTCTTTAAATTATAAATCGCACGTAAGGCTCTCTTTTGCAAAACTGATATGACTTCAATGTCAGCAGCAGACGTAATGTCTTATGGAATCTTACTATGGGGTAATCCACCCCATAGTAAGATTCCATAAGACATTACGCTATAAAAGTAACTAAAATAAACTAATCTAACTGTCTCAACGTTGGTGAGACTTCTAATTTTTCTTACAGTATATGCTGCAGAACTAAGTCTGTCTACTAATTTAGATATATAGGGACCCCATTGAAGCTTCGCGTTAACAGTAATACTAAGAAAAACGTGGTATCCACAAGACTCAACTCTTACCCATTTAAGAGCACATAGGTTGTTGGAATGTTTATTTAACATTATGTATTGTAAATTTAATACATTTTGTCTTATTGCCATTTAAATTATTGGCGTTAAACCAATGTATTAATTTCGATAGAGCATTATTTACATTGTCAAAATTAATTGACTGTCGTTTGAGTTTGAACATTAAAGAGATATGATCATCAGCAAATAATACTATATCATGATTGTCCCCATAAGATAAGGAAGTCATTAATATAGACTAAGAAAAGGAATGGTCCAAAAATCGAACCCTACGGAACGCCCATTGATACTACTGATCCGGAGGAACCTTTAGCATTGATAACAACTTTTTGAGTTCTGTTATTTAAATATGAAATAATAGGTCTCTGCTCATTAATGATAATAAAAAAAAATTAATGATATCCTTAAAAACATAGAAGTTGAATTAGCTGCTAATATTTTGTCGTACTTCAGATTATGCGGCTAGCGGGTGAAATTAATTGTTATAGGCATACACTGAATACTATACTATATATTTTCGATTGGAAAATATTTATAAAGAATATTTTATAAGGAAATTTCACTGCTTTTATGATTTTCATTAATTACGTTTTTTGTTTTCCTTTGCAGGAAGAGTTGGAAACATTACGTGCAAAATTGGAGAAGGTTGAGGGGGAGCGTACTCACTACAAGAACGAAACAGAGAAACTTGAAACTAAGGTAAGATTATTTAATAAAATATCATAGTTAAATATTTTAATGACTAAAATCAAAGAAGCCTTTTCTTAGCAGTGAGACTTTTATAAATTTATGATAATTATGTATCAAACTAAACGAAACAGCTGATGTCAAGTTGATGACACGGATCTAGCAGGGTTCTAGCTACTAAACACCGTGATATTAGAAAACGTCTTTTCACTTTTTCCTTCAAGTTCTTATTTGTAGCGTAAAGAGAGACTGAATTCAACTAAATTACTATAAACCAAAACACTTTGTCTTTATTACGTCACGTCACGTCAACACGTTGTATCGTAAATATGAAATCCAACCTTACGTCGAATATTTCGATATCAAAGTTGAATTATAGGATCTTTATGTGCAGTCTTTGGACACTTATTCCGAATTTTTTTACGAGTAAAATACCGACTGGTAACTCTGACTATGAGTCCAAGTTTGTCTAAGCAGCTTAGTCTCGAAGTATTAAAAATTTTAAGTATATAAGCTCAGATGAAGTAAAAAAACTTTTACTTCATCTGAGTATATAAGATACAAGTCTTTTGCACAGACTACCGCCGTAGCTAGACATTTATTATTTCCAAGGAAGCTTTAAATACGTCACTGTAATTGTCGGTTAGTAGACTAAAATACTTAAACCAGATTGAACGTTACACACGGACGTACTGTGCACTGAACGAAACATCTTTTTTGCAATAGCATAATTACAAATCTGTCTGGAATAAAACTTAAGTGGGCCCGCCATATTGAGAGCTCACGTTTATTCGAATGAAAACAGGTTTAATTTTTAATATGACTATAAAACCCGACGCCTAATGAGATGCGAGGGCCGGTTTAAAGCCGGTGAGACAGCGAAAACAGGCAAAAAAAACGTTCAAAGATTTTTTTTATATTTAGAAAAAAACAGTTCAATGTTCGCTCGATTTTATATACTTTTAAACTCTTAATAGCAAAAACATGCAAGAAGTTAACGTGATTGAAACTTTATGTAAAAAAATGTTTAATTGAAATTGACAGCCAGCCTGTCAATCGTGGCACCCTTGTCAAATATTTCCCTTGATGATGATGAGGCAAGATATTGGGAGGCTTTTGTTCAGCAGTGGTTTTTAATAGGCTCTAATGATGAATAGAAAATAGAATTTTATCAATTTGAATTAACGAATCGTATTAGTGTAACATTTTTAACACCTCGTCGTCCTGCAGTGACGTGGGATATTAAATTTAAAAATGTATAGTGGTTTATTAAATTAAAAAAGTGACTTTCAATAAGTATTATTTATAATCTATGTTGAATAAAAAGTTTCTGTTTATGTTACGCTAAGATTATTACGCTAACCGTGTGGTGGCGGTGTAAGAATATCCACCATATCATCCCGTGGGTGTCTTAAAAGGCAAAAGGGAGAAGCTTAACCAGTAGATAAGTAGCAGTATTTTCCTGATTACAGCTAAATAAGAATATGAACCTGCGGTTGCCAGCCCGCTTGCCAAGTATGAGGTGGAAGTTTAAGCGGTGGACTTTTTATAGGTTTTAATGATAATGGTGAGACTATTACGGCAACAGGTGTTTGAAAGTGCGGCCGTGGAAGGAGAAGGGGAGATCTCCCGCCGGGCAAGGGTTTCTGCCCGGGGAGCGGCCAACGCTCCGTGTGATAGTTCGGAGCTATTCTATATATACTGTTTTTGATTCGGAACTTTGATAGCGCGATTTATTCTTCGACTTGTTTCGCTTGTGGCGCAACGACAGCGCCGCCACAAAAGCAACAAATTATCTCTTACCGTGGTTGTGTTCAAGTCTATAGTGGGAAATGCCAGATCTAAAATAACAGCCCAGCGACACGACGGTGCTGATAGCCACGTTGATTGCACATTCACATTACACTCAATATGTTAAAGGCTGCCTCGGACTCCGTCTGGGTTCTCAGTTTAAGGAATATTGGAGTCACTACAGTTACAGGCTGTTAGTCACACTAGCTAAGTCTTCAGATCTAACTTACCTATAGCTGTACTGTACATCCGATGCTTTTTGTCGTCGGGTTTGATTTCGTTCTTCACTTACAATTGTAAAAATGTTTAATATGCAAAACACAGAGTAAACCTAGAAAAGGTACAAACAGAAAATTGAAAATGTAATGACACAAGATCTTCTCATTTAAATGTTTCAGTACGCTATAGTTGTTTATTTAATGTATGGAACGCCTGAGGAAAAACATTGAGCAATGTTGCGTAACAGCCACTCGAGAACTGAATGTAAAATTTGACGTAATATTTGGTGACATTGTACTTTTAACACTGACCCATTATAGTAATAAATAATTCTCTAAGATTTTATATATTTCACAATATATTATTTACATTATTTTATTTGAAGATATAGTTATCTCTCGATTCGATTCATACATTTTTTTAAAAGAACGCTTTTATAAAATATGAATTAAATTAAATTCTAATTTCTCAATATTAGTATATGAAAAATATTATAATCTAAAGGAAATATTTTTACAGACCTCGGTATTCCCGAATATGCATACAAATATAAATATATTATGTAAAGCTTTGCGTGCTCAGCACCGAGCACTATTTCATGCCGGCACACCGCCTGCAACTTTACAAGGCGCAGTTTCGGTCTCACATGGAATACTGTTCGCATCTCTGGGCCGGAGCTTCCCAGTGCCTGCTCCTTTCATTTAATAGCATCCAACGCAGAGCGGTTCGAATTGTCAATGACCGAGCTCTTTCTGATCTGCTTGACTCACTGACACTGCTAAGAGATGTTGCATCTCTTTGTGTATTTTATAGCATCTACGACGAGGAGTGCTCTGAGGAATTGTTGAACTAATTCCTGCTGCTCAATTTCACCATCGCACATCACTACAAAACTCTCACTACCACCATACCATCTGGATGATTGGCGGTTCGCCATTGTGCGATTTACAAGAAGTTTTCTTCCTCGCAAAACTTCCTTGTGGAATCAACTACCACCAGCGCTTTTTCCGGACTGATACGACTTAGGGACCTTCAAGAAAAGAACCTACTCTTTTTTCAAAAGACCGACAACGCACATGTGATTTCCTCTTCAATATTTCCGAAAATTGTGACCTGTAGTAGTAGAGTAGTGTCTTGCTTGGCTGCATGTGTACCGATCAAATTTATTAAATGATTATCGCAATTAAAATAGCGACAGTAGCCTAATGGCAGGGCGCGGACCAGGGGCTGCGGGCTGATGGGGCTGCGGGCTGTTGGGGCTGCGGGCTGTTGGGGCTGCGGGCTGTTCGAAAGAGATACCGCGGCTCCGGAACGTAAGGGCACTGAAGGAACACGGATGGTTTTTAGTCAGTAAAAGTCTGAGACTCCCTTACGCTCCACCCAGAGCGAAAGGGGTCATTAGATGATTTTCCATCCGCAAAAATAAAAAAAAAAAAGGGCGCGGACCAAAAAGGTCGTGGGTTAGTATCCGCCATTCGTACTGGCGTGAATCACTTGTAACACAAGCAATTTAAGCTTACCACGAGTGGTTAAGGGGCATATTAGTAATGTTTATAGCATTGTTAATATTCTTTAAAAAAAATTCACAAACATCGCCAGGTTATTCTCTTCGCTTTTTCTTTGGCGAACTTCCGTTTAGTGTCCAGTTATCACATTAGCGTTCTTATAACATTGTAAACGACATCAAAATATTTAAAAAAAACTATAATATAAAACAAATTATTTAATGTGTATTAAAAAAAAACCTTGGAAAACATAAATCAAAAATTGTAATAAAATTTTTGCAGTATTATAGACTACTCAACTTTTTTCTTTCAAATAACTTGTGTCATTGTGTGTATGCCCATTCAATAATTTCAATTAACTATTAACGACTGTGAGCACAAATATTCTTGGGGTAGGACTACGTGCAGCAGTGGACTTGTGGCGAGCTGTGATGATGGTGATGACGTTGATCCGTGTTTTTGTATTTGACCGATTGCCGTTTGTTAAACTAAAGTCAATATCGGCTAATCAAATTAGCCTTAATCGATTGTCATGGTCTTGGCTCTGTACCATTAGCATGCGGATTGTAGTAATCGATGCAATAGACCGCGGTTATATTGTGTTCACTAGAGAGGAACACTCCGTCTTCCTGACATCTAACGAGCTGACCTTCACTGACTAGTTTCCCTCGAGCTAAGCTGCCAGACGTTATTTTCCTGTAAAGTTTTCCGAGCGTTTGTGATTAAGATCCGTCAGATATTGCCGGTACTGTATTGTGATATTTTCAAAATTAAAGTGAAAACGTGTTTATTTCTTTCATCAAATAAATGCATGTAAGTGATAAAAATTTTTAATTTTCGTAAGAGGTAACGCTAGTAGAGTAAGTTTTGTTAAAACCAATTTATTTATTTATTTAACACGCTTGGGGTAAAAATGTTACGTAATTTAAAATACCAAGTGGTGAAATTGAAATTTTGCTCACCCAATATAATAAATAAAATGAGAACATCATCAATTTTGTTGTTAAAGTCAATTAAATACTCATTGTAAAGAATAACTCATAAACCACTGGCCAGATCTTTATACTGATAAAAATAATGGACCACATGTAAAGCACCATCTTTCAAATAAAAAAATAATTATCAAAATCGGCGCACACATTAAAAAAGTACAGTCGAATTGAGAACGTCCCCCTTTTTTGAAGTCGGTTGGAAATAACTATTATCGGTCGTATTAAATATATTTCGTCGTAATTCTATTCACCGTATAATAAAATCTAAAAACTGCTGTTAGAATTATGTAGTAAAATCCAAACTTTAATCAAAATAACTAGGCTACTAACTTCAAATGTGAAATATTTTTCATATAATAATAGTACTTTTATCGGCGACAGGATTTATTTCTGTTTGCAGAGCAGACATACATTTTCAGGGTATTTAGAGGCGTGAACTAAAATAATTTTACTTCTCATTACTTGGATACGATAAAATACACATCGGGCGGATGATTGACCGCAAGAAATGTCGGTCACTGGTTTTCTATAT